TTGTTGTTGATTACTCAGTTATTTTTCTTCTTTTCTTGAACCCTGTCCAGGGTTTCCATAGAGACACATTCCTTATGATTGTGCTTACTGCACCCTTGAACCTCCTCGTACGTTGAAGTTAGTGCCTCTATGATGTTCCCAATTGACCGCCATAGTAGTTTCTTCTTTTGATGGATCTTGTAGGCCTTGAAATGTGTTGTTGAGAGCGATCCTGAATTCATTAAGTTTGTCAGTATCACGATGGAAGGCTGTATTGAACCTCTGTCATGCTGTTTGTCCAGTCGTCCAATATTTCTTTAGCTTCAGTTTCATCTTGGCAACAACCAGGTAGCGGTCTGAAGCTATGTCAGTTTCTCTATTCGTGCTCATGTTTTCCAGTGACCTTCTAAATATTTTAGTGTTGCAAATATGATCAATCTGACTCTCTGTATTGTTATCCGGAGAGACCCATGTAGGTTTGTTTATGCGTTTGTTGGGAAGATTGTGCCTCCTGTAACCATTTTGTTGAATGCACATAAATTTGCAAATCTGTCACCATTCTCATTTCTTTCTCCTAGTCAGTGTATGTCGTCTCATGACACCTTCATACCCGGTGTTGTTTGTTCCAACTTTGGTGTTTAGGTCTCTCATCAGGATTGTCAGGTCGTGAGCACTCCGCTGTAATCGATTGTAGCCTCTCACAGAACTGATCTTTATCGTCTTCATTGCCATCATTGGTTGGTACATAGCATGGGGTAAAATTAATTGTGACTCGCTCCTCCTTTGTTTTGAAGGAAAATTTGGTGATCCTGATTCCATGAGATTTCGATCCGATAAGTGCATTACGGGCTTTTTCGGACAGCATCAGTGCAATCCTTTGTGTATACAAAGCATTTTCTTCTACATGACCAGAGTACGACAGCATCTCTCTCGAATCTAATCTTTTATTTCCAGCTGCCAAGTTGTATCTCCTCCTGTCCATAGATATTTGATTGGTTCTCCTAGCTTTTCACATTATACAGACGTTCCGTGTACCTATACTAATTGTTGCTCTGATAGTTAGAAGGGGCAAAGGAAACTGTATCCCTGCTTCTCACAGTCACAGAAATCTCACAAATTAGATGAAAATTCAAAGTCAAAATTCACTAGAACAACATATTTTCAATGCAACAAAAAAATCTACAAACAAACGAAAGGAATTCCAATGGGATCACCAACATCAGGACTTATTTCAGAAGCAGTAATGTAGAGACTGGACGCCCCAGTGATCAAGCCAAAAATTTGCATTCGTTATGTGGGTGACACATTCGTCATCGTCAAAACGAACGAGCTGGAAAACACCTACAAGCTGATCAACAATTTTTTCGATGACATCAAGTTCACAATGGGACAGCAGTCAAACAACAAACTAACAGTCTTGTACGTATTAATCACTAGAACTGATACAGGATATCTGGAGACTTAAGTATATTGTATGATGACCCACACAGATCAAATTCTCAACTACGGTAGCAACAACCTAGGAGCTCACAAAATCAATCAAGTATTTCTTTGATCTTTTACTGAATAGGAATTTTCACTCGAACAAAAAGTAAACCTTTAGATAATAGATGCTGAGAAATTATTTCATACGATTTTGATAACCAATTATATTTAAAACAATTAGTCCCTTTGATAAATTTCGATTATGTAATAAGAAGACGAAGATTATCAGAACTATGTGATATATTAACGCAATACATTTCGAACAATCTGATCACACATATACTTGTTTAGAGCATTTATATATAAAAATAAAAGGTCAACTAGACTGGAAACGGGGTAAGAGAAGATAAGGATAATAATAAGAGTAATAATAATAATGTAAACACTATTCAAAACCTAATCACACTGGATAATAAGTCAATATTACAAGGGTAGGTTTAGGGTAAGAACAAACTGTTTTTGAACACACAAAGGGGAGATTGTTCGAAATGTATTGCGTTAATATATCATATAGTTCTGATAATCTTCGTCTTCTTATTGCATTATCGAAACCAATTATATGTTATCAGGAATAGAAAATATTCTCAGATCATTGAGCTTTTTTAATCTGTAGTCATTTTCCAGGTATCAAATGGGATTAATACACAAAGATAATATTTTCATTCTACTGTTCACTTGAAAAAATAACTTACGAATTGTAACTGTATGGTGTATTAATTATTTTGAGATTATTTTTACTTGTTTTATTAAGCTACATCATAAAAAACATTTATGACCTTGCTATTTAGACTGAATATCTATTTTTCACGTTGTTGATTAATTTTAACAATGTATCCGTGATTTTCTCAGCTGGTATATACTATAGAATAACTCATTCAATTACCTAATTAATACATTTACAAAGTTCAATTGTAATGGTAAGTTTATGATCATTTAGTTTAAAGATCATCTACATTAAAATGAGTTTTTATCAACAACATAAAACACAATCAAACAGATAAAAAGAATTATGTGTGATTAATTAATATTCGCAACAAAATAATTACGGATTTTTTAAAATTTAATTAGATGATCATAGTTTATAAAAAGATACATTGTCTGTTTCTTGATTTAAACGATTCAGTAGCAATTTTGCTTATTAACACACATTACCTCGATGTTAAATTTGAATAAAGATTGAATAGTTTTGAACTTTTTTTTTCTTGATGAGTATTTCTTTATCATAGGTATAAACTTCTAGGAGGTATTTATGCTACGGCTTTTCATACTGTCATCTTTCTAATTTCGACATTCAAGTAGATAACAGAAAAAGAAGTGTTAAACAAATCTGTCTAAGAAACTTGTTTGATTTATCGCTTTCTCCAATCATTATTATATTAAATACACTAAGTTGTGTGAAAGATAAGTATACTTAAGAAGTGTCTTAATTATTGTGTTGGTTTGATTAGACATGTTACTTAGAAAAACTCATTATACACAATAAAGCCTAGAAACTGTAAATTAAATACAAGTGATATAGACTTACCTATAAACGAAAAATGTGTCATCTCAAGACTAAAGACTTAATTCGTTTAGGGTTAAATACACGGTTCAAAGTACAACTGTCAGAATGAAGTATAGCATCAGAGCTTCTATTAACATTATTCACTGAAGATTTACTTCAAAAAATTCACGACTAATTTAAAGTTGTCTACAACTGAAATATAATTTGAGCATGCTATGAACTGGTCCAGTGTAGCGTGACCAGATATGGTGGATAAATAATACAATTATAGCAAAAGTTACACCTTTAATTACTTCTTTAATGAGACTATGCAATAATATGTAAAATTCACTGACTGAGTTGTTAAAAATAATGACATATTTGAATTTGATAATACCAGAAAATTGGAATAGAAATTCTAGCCTAAAAAAATCTGTGACTTAAAATCATGTTCATACCACTAATCGAACGACAAAGATGTTATTGTGACGAAAATGTGAGGACGAGATAAGACAGAAAATACTACTAATAATAATGCGTGTATAAACTGTGAAAACAGTCAAACGAAACTGTGAAGTGTCATCTGTAGAAGTTCGCATGGATCTACATAGATAGACGTGTCAAGAATACTGAAAAAAGTACACCTAGAACAGAAGTAAAAAACATTTATTGATTTTAACAAGAAAATGCATGTACAATGAAAATTGACATTGATAAATATTTAGCCCAATTCATTAGAACTTAAATGCCACCACGAGAGATTGAAATAGTGATAGATAACTCTCAAATATTTGTGTTTTGTTGAGTCAGTTAATGGTGAGGAGAAATGGTGTTAGATGAAAGAAAGATCTAGTTGCTATCATCAATGTACCGGCAACATTCCGTAATTAATTTCAGTGTTATGTGATGGTCAGAAAACTGAATCAACTGTACTTTTACTGTGATAAGATAATAAACACATATATTACATTTTGCTGTTTTAAATATCATTTGCATAACAACAAGTATCACTCATACAACCTGAAGGCAATATATATATGAATACTTTAGAATACTTATCGTGTGACATTAAGTGCCAGCTATTAGAATAATGCCACAAACTCTTCAAAGATCCATTTCTTAGTGTGTTATGATTACGTGTCATTTTTAGCGTCACATATATCAGTTGACAACTAACAAGTCATTTAATCCATAGATTGAAATCGAGTATACTATAACTTGTAGTGTATTGACCCTAAATTTGGTCGATTTAGACTTATTCTCTTTAACAACAGATCACTAGGATCCACCTTTAAAGTACTGGATTTACTGTATCATACGTAATAAATGAAGTCATTATCCCAAGTACACTTTGTAAATGGTAGGAACTAAATTTTCTGACTCAGAAAAGTTCTAGCGAGTAACTATGACAATCGTAGATTACTCCAGCACGAATATAGTATAAACAGAAATACAACTGTATGTAACACGATAGCTTCAAGTCCATAAAAAGTAAAAACATCTAAATTTCTATTAAACTATCTCGAGTATTTGACTGTTTGCCTTCCAGTGAGTGTGCAACTTGGAGAGAATTCAATAGCTAAACTTTTACACAAATGATAAAGTTTTAACAAGAGCTGACTTTTCTAGCATCCAGTATCACTACTTTATGCAGTGGATGTTGTTTAGTATATAGTTTATAAGTATAAAACGTTTTAGTTAAATCAAGTATGTCAGTGTTATGAACTGTAAACATTTATTTCATTTTGGTCTTTTGTCAGTGGTTAAATCACTAGAGTATAAGAATATTTACAGCGAACATTAGAAATATATATTTCGGAAAGGAAATACCAATATTATTATATAAGCTTCAACTACAAAACTGATTTTCATCTAATCGACTGATAAAGTCACTTATTAAGCAAACATAGGGCTGCGCATTTTTCGTATGAACGCTAAAAATACTATATGATTGTCAAGATCGCAGTGGAAAAGAAGTCCAAGCTGTTTTTCAACAGCTGAAATCCCAATCCTTTAATCATAAAAGAATCTCACCTAAATGAATGACACGATTCAGGTGAATATTGAACTATACTTAAAGAGATAATCGAATAGAATATCATCACACTATTTTCTTCTTGTTCAAACAACTAATTCACATTGTACAAATAAAAGTTCAATTTCTGTTGGTTATCAAGAATTTATACATAACACGTTAAATGAGTGACGGATATTTCTGTACTCTACTTTTAGACGTAATTGAAGTAAATAAACAAAATTTCAAGTGGAGTTGTATTATATGATACATGCATGTATGTGTGAACATTCAGTTAAAAAGTAAAATAGGATCTTTTTTGTCAAAGCTCATGAAAACACTTAAATAAAATAAAATTTCCAATAATAATGATTCAATGCACTTGATCAAGTGAACAAACGAGTATAAACAGACTGGCAAAATATACAAAAATAATATTTCAAAAGAATGTTACAATGTGTAATTAGTTATTAGTAAATGAGATTTAGCAACAACACAAATAACAGTATTTACAAGTATAATAGGTAACAAAATGAAATGAAAGTAACACATGACGCTTTTTAACTATTAAATTATTTTTAATCTACGGAATGAAATCAATAAATCACAGAATAATTGGACGTAAAGATGTATACTGATCTTTTTTAAAGAAAATAAATATCTCTCTACCAACGGATGCATATGGGACAATGGTGCATAATAGAAGAATGTATACAAGGAAGGTAAAAACAGGACAAAAAGTGATAAGACAGATAGCTTGGAATTAACACACACATGCAAACAAACCAAACTAAACGGTTATTCATTTATGAATAATCCCCATCTACTGTTCAGTGTATTTTCCTTCATCAAATGTGTATCAGTGCTCTTTATTATAATATGTCTGCTCATATTTATATAAAAGGTAAATAAAAACATATAAATGAAATTTTCAGTCATGGACAGTCAAATCTAACAGATTACGAGAGAAAGAGGGAGAGAGAAAGCAAGAAAAATACCAACGACGAAGGAAGGAAAATGCATTAATGACAAGTGCTTTCTTTTCAGAGATGATGATGATGCTAATTACCAGTGTTTCTTTTTTATTTTCCATAATTCGCCGTATATTTATTCACATAACTTCATTGAAATAGAGTGGATCATGAAAATTCTTTCCATCACCAAGCTGAAAAAAGAATAAATCATTGTGTATGATTAACTAAAGAGGTTCGCTTACAGACCGAATTACAAGCGAACACAGACTTAATACATACACATCTTTATAAAAACAATGAATTACATAATTATGATAATAAATCGCTGAGAAATCAACATACATAGAATATCGTTACAGATCATCACATCATACAATACCATATAGCTCAACCAAATTTGTAGAGAACCTATTAGAATATAACTTAAATTTGTTAAATAAATGAAAGCAATAGGTAAAGAAATATAGTTATGTACACCTTTATAAAGACATAAAAACCTTTACAACGAAGGAAATGTGGTGTAATAATATTCACATTTTACAAGTGTACCGAATAAAAAAAGTATGGTGTTATGTACAGATAATGAGTGTTCATCCTAAAGAGGGATAACTCAGTGACCACGTACACGATCATATGCTCGAATTGAAGTTATTACCATCTCTCAAAGAGATACTATAAAGATTAGTCTATTATCTTCAGCAGAAAGAAAAAGAAATAAAAGTGGAACCTATGATGCTGCTAATAAACGATAAATGACTTAAGTTAGTGAGATACATTTAGACGTATGTTATCAGAATTGTTGAGTAAACCGAAAATAGAGAAGCGTGATTTAAGATGCGAGAAGTATGTTTTAATAACATTTACCTCAGGATAAATAATTTTGATAAGTCTTTACTAATTTTATTTTGATCATCATATAAGAATACATACAGAGGTATTGTGTCTTTTTAAAGAAAAAAAGGTTGATATAATTAACTATTACACTGAAGAATTTTATCTATAACACATAAGTAATTGATATAAATTAGTTAAAAGACACGAAACCGACACAAGAGAAAAGCTCTATAATAGACGTTTTATACAATAGCCATACAGGAAATAGCTAGTATCTTAGAGAAACAAGAAACAATGTAGAAAACAAAAACAGATACATATTGTCAACAATAATAATCAATTAACCATTACTAAAAGTTAGAATATGGTTAAACGTGAATCAATTCAAGCATGCTGGTAGTGATAAATGAGTTGTACAGTTGATTCTGGCAACATATATATCAGTGAAAAGTAATAAAACAAAGGACATTTACAATGATTATAAATAAAAATAATATACTTGTAATATCCCAATGAGTAGAAAAGGTGGGTTACACTGAGTCACGAAACGTCAGAAAATCTAATTTGTTTTACTCATTGTGATAGTACAGACATATCATTCTTATTTATAAAAATCTACCCAATGCTCAATTTATTTGAAATTATCAATTCAAACCTTAGTAATGATATTTACAATGATTATTTCCTGATTTATTTATGTTTATCGTCAAATGATATTCACGAAAAAATGGAGATGAGAGAGAACTGAACAAATAAAGGCCAATATCCAGTTCAATCATGTTTCTGATGTGTGGGAGTGATAATGATTGATTGTCTGCATAGTCGGACATGTAAATAGTCTGACAGGTGTCAGATGAGTTAGATATTCCCCCTATCCTTATTACTATTATTACATACTTATTATTGATTGTAACTCCGCCTGTAGCTCTTCTAGTTACTGCCGGTCCCAAGCCCGGGTAAAGGAAGGGGGTTGGGTATGAGGTTGACGTCCCCATCCCGTAGAAAACTAACTCGCTAAAAAACGCTAACCAGAAAAAATAATTCAAATCATTTTAACTCTGCCCTGGGAGTTAGAAGGTCTTCATTTAGAAGAATTATGACGCTTCATGGTGAAAGCCGAGTTCCTTCGGAAGCCACGAGGCCGATGCCCCTTCTAACAACCAGAGCAAAACTTTTTGTAGGTAAATGGAACGTCTAAACAATGTGGGAGACCGGGAAGACTAGTCAAATAGCAACGGAAATGAGGAGATACAATTTGACAGTACAGGGAATCAGCCAAACCCATTGGACCCAAGCTGGACAGAAAAGGCTAGCTACCGGAGAGATGCTGCTGTACTCCGGTCACGAAGAGGAAAATGTTTCATACACTCAGGGAGCCGCTCCAATGCTGTCCAAAGTAGCATGAAATGCACTTGTAGGATGGGAATCTCACTGATCCAGAATCATCAAAGCATCATTCAAAACAAGGAAGCAGGGGATTTTAATGAATATTATACAATATTATGCACCCACGAATGATAGCAACGACGACATTAAAGATCAGTTCTACGAGCGGCTGCAGTCAATCATAGAGAAATGCCCAAGAAAGGACCTCACCATTCTAATGGGAGATCAACGCCAAGGTTGGAACGGACAACACTGGATATGAAGACATCATGGGACGACATGGACTGGGAAAAAGAAACGAAAATGGTGAGAGATTTGCAAACCTATGTGCCTTCAATAAACTGGTCATAGGCGGCACCATATTCCCACATCAACGCATTCACAAAACCACATGGACTTCACCGGATCACACAACGCAAAACCAAATCGACCATATTTGCATCAACAAAACGTTCAGGAGGACTATAGAGGACGTGAGAACCAAGAGAGGAGCTGATATAGCATCAGATCATCACTTGCTGGTCGCGAAGACAAAATTGAAACTCAAGAAGCACTGGACAATGGGGCGGACAATATCACAAAAGTTCAATAAGGTCTTTCTTCAGGATACTAACAAACTCAACAAATTCAAGATAGATCTCAGCAACAAGTTCCAGGTCTTTCATGCTCAGTCGAACAAGAGCATAAAAAGCCAAGGCACAAGCTGAATACACAGTAGTAAACAAACAAGCGAAGAGGAGCATCAGAACCGACAAACGTAATTATGTGGAAGATCTAGCAAAAACGGTGGAAAAGGCTGCAAGAGAAGGAAACATGAGACGATTGTATGACACGACAAAGAAACTCTCTGGAAATCGCCGCAAACCAGAACGACCACTGAAAAGCAAGGAAGGCGAGGTAATCACCAACATTGAAGAGCAACAAAACAGGTGGGTAGAACACTTCAAAGAACTCTCGAATCGACCAGCTCCACTGAACCCACCCAACATCGAAGCAGCACCCACGGACCTCCCAATCAACGTTGGCCCACCAACAACTGAAGAAATCAGCATGGCCATCAGACAAATCAAGAGTGGCAAAGCAGCAGGACCGGACAACATTCCAGCAGAGGCACTAAAAGCAGACGTAGCGGCAACTGCAAGGATACTCCACATTCTCTTTAATAAGATTTGGGATGAGGAACAAGTACCAAAAGACTGGAAAGAAGGACTTCTGATCAAAATACTGAAGAAAGGCGATCTCAGCAAGTGTGATAACTACAGGGGCATCACTCTTCTTTCAATACCAGGAAAAGTCTTCAACAGAGTATTGTTAAACAGAATGAAGGACTGCGTAGACGCCCAACTTCGTGACCAACAGGCAGGATTCCGTAAGGATAGATCGTGTACAGATTAAATCGTAACTCAACGGATCATTGTAGAACAATCAATTGAATGGAATTCATCACTCTACATCAACTTCATTGACTACGAAAAGGCTTTTGACAGCATAAACAGAACAACACTATGGAAACTTCTTCGACACTACGGCGTGCCTCAAAAGATAGTCAATATCATACAGAGTTCATACAATAGATTACACTGCAAAATCTTGCATGGAGGACAGTTGACAAAGTCGTTCGAAGTGAAGACCGGTGTTAGGCAAGGTTGCTTACTCTCACCCTCTCTTTCTCCTGGTGATCGACTGGATCATGAAGACGTCAACATCTGAAGGGAAGCACGGGATACAATGGAAATCTAGGATGCAGTTGGACGATCTGGACTTTGCAGATGATCTGGCCCTTCTATCCCAAACGCAACAACAAATGCAGGAGAAGACGAACAGTGTAGCAGCAGCCTCAGCAGCAGTAGGTCTCAATATACACAAAGGGAAAAGCAGGATTCTCCGATACAACACAGCATGCACCAATCCAATCACAATTGACGGAGAAGATTTGGAAGATGTGAAAACATATACATATTTGGGCAGCATCATTGATGAACAGGGTGGACCTGATGCATATGTTAAGGCGCGGATCGACAAAGCAAGAGCAGCATATTTACAACTGAGGAACATCTGGAACTCAAAGCAACTGTCAACCAACACCAAGATCAGGATTTTCAATACAAATGTCAAGACAATTCTATTGTATGGGGCGGAAACTTGGAGAACTACGAAAGTCATCATCCAGAAGATACAGGTGTTTATTAACAGTTGTCTACGCAAAATACTTCAGATCCGTTGGCTGGACACTATTAGCAACAACGTACTGTGGGAGAGAACAAACCAGATCCCAGCGGAGGAAGAAATCAGGAAGAAGCGCTGGAAGTGGATAGGACACACATTGAGGAAAGCACCCAACTGCGTCACAAGACAAGCCCTCACATGGAATCCTCAAGGCCAAAGGAAAAGAGGAAGACCAAAGAACACATTACGCCGAGAAATGGAAATAGACATGAAAAAGATGAACAAGAATTGGATGGAATTAGAAAAGAAGGCCCAGGACAGAGTGGGTTGGAGAATGCTGGTCGGTGGCCTATGCTCCATTGGGAGTAACAGGCGTAAGTAAGTATTTGGGGCGGTGCCTTAATGGTTAAGTCATTAGAGCTCCAATCGTTAGGTCATGAGTCCGGATTCGGTAGTCCGGTAGTACTACCGGTCCTTATACAACTAACTTGGTATGAAGCCGAATACATAAACTTACTTTTAGTAAATGTGAGCCAGTCAGTCATACAAAATGTCAAACTTGACACACAAGTCCAAGCTGCCATATGCCATTAACATAACTAAATTAAATTCTCAGAGTAAATCGAACAGTAATAAAGGTGGTAGCAGGATTATAAGATAATCAAGAAACCTGATGCCTACAGTAATACAAAGAGTGAGTGTACCTGTATCATTGCAAATGATTTTGAGCCATCTCACCTAAAGTCTCTAACCATTGGTTACGATAATCACGCAGACCCCAACCAGGTAACCTACACTTGTGTAGTCCAACAGTCAGTATCTTTATAAACTGATGCCATGTTTTGGTTTGGCCGACGCTTACTTTCTCCTAACCTATTCCTACACCAGCATTCATCGCTGGTCGAGGTCGCTGGTGGACGGGTATACGTTATATATGTCCTAATAATCCCAGTCGATAGTGATTGATTACCTCGCCGATCGATTTCTCATTTTTACCTAGTACTCCGCATACAATCTCAGAACAGCCATCTCGATGGTCTCAGAATACGCGAGCAACACCTTGAAGGCAGATATGATCAAATACTATTAACCTACGAATACCCTCTATTGTTAATAGCCGTAAATCATGCCAAAAAATTTAACAGAGAAAACTGAGCACAGTAAACTTATTTCCTTTGGTTGGCCAAAGAATATATCATCTACGCCATAAATGGCACAATTTGATAAATGGGTAACATAAAAATAAAATTTATGAAGTTTTGTTTCAAAGATATATTCAGTTAACCAACAGACAGTACTATCACAAAAACTAAGGCTCAAAAACTAACAGAATCAAGTCAATTATGTGACGCTCGTTTTGTGACAATACTAGAAATTTTCACTGAATATACATGCATGAAAATCCCTCTTTGAGCCGATGTAAACAAAACATCACTCTTTTCAGCATGCATATAGGATGGTTCTGTTTAATAATTGCTTATGACAAGAAATATATTTTATTTTACATTAGAGTAACCTATATTAGTATGAATAATAATAATAATAATAATAATAATAATTCATTTGGTAGGATAAGTGAACTAACTGATCAGACAGCATAACCATAAAATATTCATATTTAACCTAAATTTTATGTTCAGTTACCAAACTCTTTAATGTATTCCAAATAGTACAAAAATGACAAACGATTGAATATTCTGTATTGATGAAGGTAAGATGGAAAAAGACAATTAAAAAAAGAATGAAGTTCAAAATGGCAGTACTTCTACTTTCATTTTTTTCTAAATACCATAGATGTCTAGGAAAAAACACAAAATGCAATTAGAACAGTGAAAAACATTGACCAAAGCAAGACAACGGATGATTAGAAGTATAATAAGGAGAAAAATAAAATAAATGACAAGTTAATCTAAATATTACAATCGAGATCAATTTTCTTTGGTGTAAATCAGAGTTTCTAGCTAATAAACCTTTTCACCACAAAGACCTCAAACAGGTTAGATTAAAGATTAGTGACTTTTTCCAATCAACAAATTAGTAGTTAATTATTAATTCTAATGAAAATTTGAATAATTCAAGATGATTCTTAAGTTATGATCCAAATAATTTCTACACATATACAAACACAAGTAACATAGATAGATAAACAACAACACTAACATTAATCATACTTTCCTAGCTGAATAGATATCGTATAAATTAGTTAATAAGCAACAAGCAATCATTTAAGAAATTCTATGTATCGCGGAAAATACGATTTTTCGTCTCCAACTTTTTGCACTGATATAGATAAGAAGACAGGATGGACGATTATGCATTCATTAGAAGAATCAACAGCGTTATACTATCAATCAATATTTTGACAAAATTGAGTAAATAAAAAAAGATTGACAAATGTAGCTCATGTTTACATATGTACTTTTATGCACATAATATCTTATTGTTGCTTTAATATCTAAATAATAATTTTAGGTTCATTAAAAATTACAATTCTATATTTGCATAACGATTGCTATATGAAAGCAAATCACAATACAAACAAAAATAGCCGGAGGAAATACAACAATTGTAAAACAGAAACCAGAAAGGTAACCAGTGTATGGCAAACACACAAAGTTAGCAGCATCGGATAGAATCAAGTAAAAAGTAAATGAGAACTGAAATTAGAAAACAAATTTTTTTATCCTAGTAGAAAATTAAAGAACAAATAATGGTAATAATATAGTTTTTCACCATTATTACTGTACTCATAAAAACACAACTTGGTAGTGTTAATTCACAGATGAAAAAACTTATTTACTATGCAGATTAATTTACAAGTGAACACACTGGCATGCTGGTTGAGCCTAGCAGATCACCGCAACATAAGAGAATATGGAATTAGGGAAGAAGTAGTAAATCAAAAAGTGATAAGAACACAGTTCGTATCACGGTGCTTTAATTTTAAGGGAGCAGAACTAACCTTAAACTTATTGTTACTATCATTACTAATATTAGTGTCATCATTATCACTGTCTAGTTGAATAAGTTGTGCACACTTTCAGTATGAATATTAATGTGAAAAAGGGAGAAGAAACAACAATACCAACAATGACATAGTTAAGATAATAAGATTTATATAAATAATGATTATAATCACCATCATCAAAAGGAATGTATACACAATATAAATTTTGCTAAAAGACAGAACCTTAGTCAAAATATGAGTTGCATCATATTGCGAGAACGAAATGAACATTGACTGCTTTTTTATCCTTATGTAGCCCAATCAAACCATTCATGTTATTAGTATGTAAGTGAGACCGAGTTAACTTTATCGTCAACTGTGAGAAGATAAAATAAGCCCTTACATTATTATGAATATTAATGATAACAAAGCATTTGCTGATTGATAACGTTGTAGACAGTGAAACCATATAAGATACTTATGTATTTGTAACAAAGTTAAACACTTCAGAAAAATAAACTTTTAATATTTAAGCTTACTGCCGATCATTAATCGAACTATCTACATTTTGTTCATTAGCTCCACGGGATGCTAGTGATGATCATAGCAGATAGATTTTAAGCAAACGAAGAAAACAAACTAAACCCTCTCATTAGATATTTTGTAATGTGCAAATAAATTTTTCAAGCAGATACTGAGAAACCCTAAACATTATTTTGTCCAACTACAATAAAAAACCCAGAGTACATACCACAATCAGTTCAATTTTTTTATTTCATTAAGGTGAAAAGAGAAACTGAGTTAACACTGAAAATCAAGTCGTATGACTTGACAGGTGTGGTAGCCTATTACATAACCGGGTATTAAATTCATAAATCAGAGACTTATGATTTTAATCTTAGTAAATGTAGTCGATTACCTCAATAAAAGTAATTGTGATACATAATCAACCACTTTAATTTGGAAAGCTAGATATCAGTTCAATTCCCTCTACAATTTTAATCGTAAAAATTATGTATTATATATATATGTATATATATATATATATAGTGCTAAACAAATAGGTTATTTAAAAACAAATCATTTACCCCTCTGATAAACTTCGTAAAATGCAATTTATTACAAAATAAAATCACAAATAAACGTGCTTACTTCCACAGGTTGCACTTTAACAGTATTCATACTGAGTGCAGAACTGATTGATGCTTTCTCATTGGAATAAAATACAGTAGTACTATCACGTTTAACATTGTCAAGGTAACTATTGTTTCTATCATTATTGACAAATGTCCCACTTCTTTGTTCAAAAGTTGTAAGTAATTTGGCAAATTTATAACAACATGATGGTAATGATTCGGTCAGTGGTGGAGTGCTGTGTGTAAGTAATGGCTTCAAATAGCTGCAAAAAGAATAACAAACTAAAATTACTAACAATTTAGCTTCAATATTAGTCAACATAAAGTGAAGCACGAGACAGTGAATTACATTTTAACACAACAGTCTAATATCTAGTAAGCACAACGCTCTAACCTGCTGTAAACGTAGCTCTACTGGTATTTTCTAGTAAATTAAGACAGGTTATATCACAAGGTATTGTACACCAAATGAGTGGTTAATATGCAAAGAGCACACCAAAAATCCTTTGATCTCAAATGCAATTACTAGCAGGGTTGGGAGTGCAGGCTCCTAAGGAGTCCCAAAATGGAATGACCAATTTTTCCTGATCAGTAATAGTTGTTAAGATGAAGTCACTCTGTGACATAAAGTATGTTTGGATTGAATGGCTCCTATAAACCCCTTATGGTAACTTTTTACTAATTGGATAGTTTCTTTTTGATGATATTAAACATGACAAAATACAAAACAGTTATTTCATTTTTCTTTAACCAAATACTTTAAAAAATAATACACTGACAGGAGGTGAAGGATAAAACATACTACTCTCAAACTAGCTATATTACCCGCAATATTACAATAAATAAAAGTCTAAATATATCTAAGACGTGTAAATGCAATTATCATGAAGTGATAGGAAAGTATTCTTCGTAGTTCATTTGGTGTTTTTACCGGAAACTTGTGAGTCTAAAACTGTTTATAAAATAAACTTATTTTATTTAGGGGATATTTAAGGTGACAGATGATAATTATTAGGTAGTATTTCAGGAGAATATTTTAACCAAGCTGATCAGTCATTTAATTCTGAAGGTACGAAAAAGGACTCGATTGATTTAGAAACTATCTGTAACAAGGTGTTAAAATAATGTGATTTAGAGAATGAATCCAGCGAACGACCTGACCTATTTAGTTGAAGAAGCTGACCAATCACAACGCACAACTATATTGATATCAAAACCAAAACGTAAAGTCAATCTTTGTGAATGAAACACCTAAAAAAGCATTCAAAGAAACCAAGGGAATTAACCAAGTCAGATCTACGTAAACTCGATTGACGGGGAAACTATCACATTCAGTTAATTTAGATTAGGAATGAATAAAATAAATTTTATTATGGGCTCTGACAAAAATAGTGTTAATCAATACAATAAACATGTGATATGGAAGGCATGCAAATTCATGTAAACGATCACTTACAATTTATCGAAACTCATCCAATGAGAACTACAGCAACTATGATCATCAACCAAATCTTCTTCCGTATCTGTATGCGGCTAGAAAGAAAAATCATCACGGTTTTGATTCGACATTAAAATAAAAACGATAATAATACACCACGTTAGGAAAAGTCAGACAAGCTAGGAGATTAGAACACTTCTAATATGTTTAAGCTAAAAAATATATTATTGTGGATTACTTAAAATTAACCTCTGAAGAATATTTATTTAGTTACTTGGATTCTAGGTTCCCAAGTAAGTGTAGTTATCAAGATTAATAAATTAATATGACAAGCCACATGTTTTTTTCTTAAAAATGGATGACTAAGTAGTATGCAGTTATTTTCTAACTTAACCAGTGACGTAACCGGTATATTTAAAAAAATATTACAGAATATGGTTTGAAACTAGCTAATTAACACTATTTCGAATGTCTTTTAACGCCCACGGAAAAATTTGAATCAGTGCCTACGATGTTATTATTACCAGTTAATAAATTTGATGTCATAATACCCTAGAATTTATACATATAATTATCTCTCAGTAAATGTCACGATTTAAGTAAACTCAAACAAGAAGACCCTAGCTATATTTCGAGACATCTAGATTAATTTCACACATGTCCTAGTAACGAACTACCAAGCTTTGATGATAATGAATTATCAGAAAGATTGGAAGAAAAGCTTTGCTTAATCAAATGCAATAAGATTCAATTAAGTGGTACCTACTTATCTACCTTATATAATTAACCATAAAATCCATTTCCTTTTGATAAATAAAATATATGTTTTCACCAGAATGTTTAACATAAATAACTAAGAAGGGTTGAAAATTACGTACTGACCGACTGGTCAAAACATTGATTAAGTTTATTTCTGATGAATCGGGTACAACCTCAACATTATTGTGTAGCTATTGGTAGTCAGTTAATCATGATTTTGATAAACTTTTTATTTATCTTACTGAAAAGATCACTATTTCTAACTTGTTTTTAGTATAAATTCTAATCTAATCCAAAATCATATATATATAAGCATAAAGTTATGGGAATCAAAAAACAATGGCAAGAGATTCACTTCGTGACTTACTTGGTTTTTACTGTTGCAATCTACACCAACACTAAATATAAATGAAGGGAACAGCTTAATAAGCATTTTACATCAATCCATAAAACAGAAATTATTAATACATTTACAAGAACGAATTGCCAATTAAATAAATTAAAATGCGGAAAAAAAACGATTGATGACATGAAGATACCAAAAATTCCTATACTGTAAACTAGAGCAACATATGTGAGCGAACAATGTTATTTTCAATTAGGTAGTTTGAATCCAGCATCTAAACAAGAAAATCCCGAAAGAATCCCATTAATTTGATAATTCAATTATACACATTTTACATCCATGATTTCGAACTATAATATGGCCACGACCAAACCTGAGTCAGTCAGTCACAGTTCTGTAGCTCAACATGAAAACCAGTAGCTGGATACCATAACTGACAATTTTAGTATCCTGATTCCTTAGGAAAATTTGTGGATGCGTGTCATTCGTTATGAAATCTTTGTAACTATATACATAAGGCAACTCTCGGTCAGACAAATGACAAGAAAAATTAAGCTAACACCATACGATCACGATACGTAAAATTGCTAAGGCAACTGTGAGAAAAATATTTAGTAATATAACATGAAATACGAGAAAACGTTTGTTATAATGATGTGGATGATATCAGAATCATCCTAATAAGAAAATCTCACTATATATATATATTCATCATAACCAATATTTTAAATTTCAGCTACGTATGTTAAGAACTTAAAAATTTATAGTGGATTTACGAAACTTCAAGTAAGAGTAGACACTTTCTCCCACTGATTTTCACGACTGAATAGAGCAGCTACAGAGTCTCTTTAGACGGATATATCGTGCGTTTATGTCTGGCAGTGATCAGCGACAGAAGTAAAAAAGTACGTCTAGCTTTCACGATGAGGATGATAGCTTTATGTTTTTGAATAAACAGGTAACAGGTCCAGATTACATTTGCAACATCAAAAACTCATAATAACGTGCATAGCAGATATACCAATGTTTTAATTGACTTCAAAGAGCAATTTTGTACGTTGAATTTAGATACTCTATACCTGAATTCAGAGTAGTGTTATGCAGTACTGTAATCTACTGTAAGCTTTATTTATTTATTTATTTTAACACATAGATATTAGTACAAGAATTCACGAAATACATATGCGCCATACAGATCTCATTTGATATGTGTGAAGGCTGTGATACGGCCCGGGTGCCCAAACCGAAGCAGGTGGTTTTCTTAGGGGGCCACACCCGGAGCCTTCGACCTGAAGGTCTGATCTACAAGGCAGTGGAGCATCGTAAGGAGATGCAGTCCCATGGTAACCGGTGACTAACGACTGGTTCATACGCCGTTTGTTCCTTCAGAATACTGGAGCCCATGGGCACCATCGGTTTGGAATCAGGGTTTTCCAACTACCCTAGGTGGACTCTCCATGTCCACCAACTCGGTTAAAGCACCAGACATTCGCTTTTCGTCCTCTAAATTTCGTAAACAACACCCCTGCCACGAGAAGTCAGTGAGTAGGACTTCCGTGGTAGAGGCGATTTACGCGTGGCCATGTGAGAGCATGTCAAGAAGGAGAGCGGACTCTCCCCACTCTCGGTCGTACCAGGGCATTTGGGGGCTCTGCAAGTTTGATAATTTGATAAGGTTCACATCTGAGTATAATTAAGTGGTTGAAGGTGAAAGGGGAAATTACGTCATGTCACATTATTTTTTGAAAAACACTAACACACCCATAAAAGCTTACGGTATCTGCAATCTGTGAAGTAACGATATGGCAAAACAACCTCCCAATAACACCGTAGTCATAACTATTACAATAATCGTTGAAAAAAACATCCGACGTATTTCAGAACTTGTATTGCGAATCGCTAATGAAAAAGCCATGGCACCCCGAAGGCCTGAGAAAAAGATCATATGTTGAAAATTTAAAGTGATTTTGTTAGATTTATCCTTCCTGTTATTATCAGCTGAAGTAACTGCGACACTACCTGAATCAATTGAATTCGACAAAAATGATGATCCAGGCACAATATTTTTATCACTAGAGTAAGACAGTTGAGAACTGGAATCAAACTTTCGCTTCAAACATTTCGTAGAACAGGAACACTGATAAGTTCGACAAAAGTTGATGAGGGCTGTAAGTGGATATACGCTGACTGCCCGAGCAATTACACATGAGAACAATGCGATAAATACAAATCGAGCATTCCAATAATGATGAGGGAAAGTAAACGTTGAAACACCGATATATGCGAAAACAAAGTTTTCCGACAAGAAGTTAAGTAGTTCAAAAAACTAAATCAAAATAAATAATCACCAAATTAAGTTAATACTTTATAACTTAATCTAAATAATTCAACTGAATAAATAAAATGTGTCTATAAACTTCCTGTATCACAAACTGGTGTCCTGTACGTTGCTACATGCGTATGGTCTGTTGACAGTTCCTGGTTGCTTACGTAGTAAGATGGAATTTCGCTCTCAGGAACCTGACTGAGAGATCGGATTAGCAATGATGGTTTCACAGATCTAGGAGCACGACCACATAGCCCAGGAGATAGATACTTGATGCTCGTTACGTAGTCTTTTTGTAGGTCACTTTCTACATGAACTCTGTGCTTTGTAAACCTTACAGTCGACGCTAGAAATCTGTGGGACAATGTGCGCTGTTTTTAAAGTCAAACGTCACTACACCTCCCGTTCGTTTTCGGAGAGTTAGGGATAATGGTTCGCCGTAAGAAAAATCTTATTGCAACCATACTCCAGTAGAGATGGTAGTATGACTTCACTTACGGACTTCGCACTTGGTGTTTTTGTTCATATTGCTATCCAACAATTCTGCTTACGTGATAGACCTCAAAGAACAAGCGTTCCAGTAAACATACATGGGCTTGGATTTCACGATAAGCAAGCTCGGGTAGCATTACGAATTGGCAAATAGTAGAGATTCAGAGTATATATTGATATACCTACTAAATAAAAAGTCTAGAAAGAGGACAGGATGTTTTTTCGATATTGAAACATAATAGTTCGTTTCTTATACTTCAGAAGTGATTTATTTCAAACGACGGTTTCTAATTAAGATAGGTTTACCAATAATTCTAGAAGAACACTTTACTTAACTGTCACGTGTACAACTTTCTGTGAGAATTCCCCATTTTCTTCATAAATGTTGCAGGCCGCCGAATTACTTAAGTTACCAACCGATACGATTTTTGAGTAAAATGTTGTCTATTGTTTTCTAAACATCGCGACGAAATTAGATAACGAGGTATTTCAGGTAGTATATTCAATAAACTTTTGAAAATATTGTTAGACTGAAAGTTAGAAAAATGTCATTGTAAGCCTGAACTGACCTCAAACATGGCGTACAGATATGTCATCGGTAAACTAACTTTTAATAGTAAATCCTCTGATTTTCACATATTATTATAACTATTAAAAGGTAACTACTTGGGGAAGAGTTTTCAATACACTCATTTGATTTGAAGATCGAAATAGTTCTTATCATGAAATGTTCCACCCTTTACCTTATTTAGGTGCAGGAAAGTGACTAAATTTCTAATAAAGCGTTCCACAAAATCTAAGTATTTGGACTGAATTCAAGATAACAGGTATCATTCTCAATAATCGATTTCAATAAGGATGTCGTCAGTACATCACAGTTTGTCATCTATACCATGCTCCTGATATGTAAGGGATAGCTTTTGGGTAAAAACTGTGTCGAAATAGTCGAAAGTTGACTGGTCTAACTACAAAGCAGAAGTTTGTATATCGCCCACTATTCAACTGATATGATGTGTTAAAAAGGGAAATTTACATTTCTGATTCATTATGAGTTTTTTTCCAACATTACTTCCGCTTTTAATTCAATACGATGATTACTCAGTTTAATATTTATTTTATTTTTCAGTGGGATATTTTGTTTATTATAACACTGATTTCAGTGCAATATTTATTCAAGATATGATATTCTTTGTATTAAATCAGCATGAACTATGTTCAGCATGATATATAGCATGAGACTGTTGTAATTTCATGTGAGTGACATTTTCCTATTTATAGTGATAATTTTCATTTTGACATTTGGTAAATAAAGAAGGGACGAATCGAGCGAAGAAATTTCTTTCCAATTGAAAAAAACTTTTTTCGCTCGATTCTTTCCTTCTTTGTTTTTCTAATTGTTAATCAAATGGATGTGCAAATCAAGATAACAATAAGCGTATTCTGAACTAGGGTCGTCCTGTTTTGGGAGTGAACAAACCTTCACTTATACCAATATTCCGTGTTCTTAGCGCTGGAGAAATTGTAATGGATTCTTGTTTTTCAAGTACAATTAATAGGCGGTGTGGACATAACATTACCACTGATAGAAGTAATTGAAAGATTATAGTTTATTAAATGACAAGATAGGATGGTGGATAACTACTGTAATAGCATCTGTTGACCGATCCCGGTTTATATGAGGTACAAAAAGTTATACACCTGGACGCCCGTAGATATGTTATTTGGTCCAAAACTTTAGACAGCAGTAAAAGTTATTCTATGTTTCCTAATATAGTGTGTCTTCATGATGTACAAGGTTAATCAAAACGAGAAGTAATGCACAACCAAACCATCGCTACTCCATGATTATTGCAACTATGTGCGACTGGTCAAAATTCAGAAATGAATATTGCCACTTATGAACGATTTCCCGATCTTAGAAACTATTTCATATATTTATTCGTACAACTATTTAAAAAAGGGAAGCTTACAGATTTTGTCCATACTTTAGATTCCTGGGATAGGTTGTTATAAGTGTAGTGTGCTTGAGTCACACCACAGAACAACACGGAAACAATACCTAAAAATAAATGAAATCTTAGGTTGACGTATGTAATGGGATAGAAGTAAGTAAACAAGTGTACGTTAGACAAGTAAAAACGCTATATTGATGGCTGATATAAAATATTTCCATAAGAGAAGGCACATGTAAATTCTGATAATTACTTATTTCACCAAATATGGTGAAAAATCTTGTTTGTGCTTTGAATTTATAGGTTTCATATTTTGACATATCACGGTTTCAAGATGAAAATACAGTCAAGACCAAATGGCTCCACTAGCTGCCATGTCTAAGTTCAGTTCCAAAACTAGTAAGTAATTAATTATTTTGTTAATGATTTACAAAATTTTCCAATAAAACTGACAATCATTTATAAAATAATAACGCAAATAAACCACTGCAAAATGATTTTGAAAGTTAACGTTAACGAGTATATGTTACACACAAAGAATGAGTTCGATAAGCTGATGATTTCTTATTGATATTAATACTGAAAAACCAAGCAGTATTTCTGTGAAGGATCTCGCAGTAGAAAGCTGATGAAAGTCCATATGATTAAGACTGAGTTTTAAAAAATAGATTTTACGGTGATATTTTTGTCACTGTGTAAACGCTAAACTCTAAAACAGGTGTTGACCAGCTATCTTAACGGAGGAAAGGTATGTTTAATCAGTAAAATTAAGTTTGTAGTTACTTCTCCAAAACGTAAGTAAACTATGTAGATCCTACATCTAACAAACAGTATCTAGAAAGCCAACAATCTTATTGTAGTAGCCTTCTAAGTATAGCGTATAATGCGTCAAAACGAATATTCAGGAGATTAAGAAACTAACCAAAAATTAGTTCGGAAAACTGTGATTCAATGAACTTACTAGGAAAATTAAGATAAGAAAATCAGTGACAACAAGTGAATATTAAACCTCCTAATGATGGTTTGGCGAAAGGCAGAAAACCTCAAACGAGATTCCAACTGGTATTTGATGCATAAGTTCTGGATTATATAATGGCACACACTCTGCAGGCAAAAACAGTAATGACTGTACGAATGAAAAAAAGATTGCTGGGCTAGTTCTATTCACTTAAAAGCGAAGTACTTTAAAATCTGAGATTTGAAAACATATGAAGGCTTCTCTGAATCAGTTCTTTTCATAACATGTACAGTTTTGTTGACCGTGAGGCACGGGTAGTTTGGGCCAATAGAAACTAAAAATTAACTTAGGCTACTTATGACTTCATAGTAAATACACTCATTAGGATTGACAAAACAATTATGCAGCCGTATTTTCAATATAATGTTTTGTAGTCAAAATAATAAGGACGTTAGTGTACACAACATACAGCTTATATGTTGACGCAAATAAAGAGATTTAGTGATCATACGGATTTCCTCATTTTCCACTGAAAGTAGTTACCGCGCATAAAAAAAAACGCTTTGACAGTAAAATTAGAGCTGTTATTTAGTGAATGAAATGACTTGTTCAAAAAAGAAAGAATTCCACAAATTAAGAACGGTACGAAGGTGTCAATATGGGTAATACACGTTAGAATATCTGGAAAAAATGTTTATTTAGAAAATGATCAAGTTTCCGATACGATCAGTTGCAAACAAGCAAACCAGTAGCAATATTTTAATGAGTATTATCAGCAAATACAAAATATCTGGATTTGGTTGATAAAAACACGATTGCGTACAAAATTAGTTGATTTGAATTTTGCTAGAATATACATTATTTTATATTTATGTGATTTTTAATATACCATAATTAAAGATGGTCTTGTAGGAGAATCAGTTTGTTCAAGATGGTCATTGGTCAATTTATTGATATTTTCAAAATAACTATCTTAACGCAGTTTACTTAATTCCATTATACAATGGAAGGCTTTTTGTGGTGTTTATCACGGATTACAGCGTCAATTACAAGTGAACACCAAACTTGTAAGGATCAGTAGTGGGTATACTAACAAACTTTAGTTAGAATTCTTTAGGTCATAACATGCACCCATTGAAAACTTTTGATATCAAAGCTTTATCCAATTCTTCTGTAATGTGGATTAGTTTTGTTAGAAATGACAACTACTTAATTAATGTAGTAAAACTTATCAATTGCGCTATCTACCGAGATAACTAGACTTAAATGTAGCAAATAAACAAAATAATGGAGGTAAAAATTTGCTTTATAAAAAGGATATTTAAGACTTGACTATAATGTTTTGCCATTTATTGGAATCACATAGAATACAAATCACAAAACTACCAGCTCATCAAATGAATGAATTTATAGGTTTCATATTTTGACATATCACGGTTTCAAGATGAAAATACAGTCAAGACCAAATGGCTCCACTAGCTGCCATGTCTAAGTTCAGTTCCAAAACTAGTAAGTAATTAATTATTTTGTTAATGATTTACAAAATTTTCCAATAAAACTGACAATCATTTATAAAATAATAACGCAAATAAACCACTGCAAAATGATTTTGAAAGTTAACGTTAACGAGTATATGTTACACACAAAGAATGAGTTCGATAAGCTGATGATTTCTTATTGATATTAATACTGAAAAACCAAGCAGTATTTCTGTGAAGGATCTCGCAGTAGAAAGCTGATGAAAGTCCATATGATTAAGACTGAGTTTTAAAAAATAGATTTTACGGTGATATTTTTGTCACTGTGTAAACGCTAAACTCTAAAACAGGTGTTGACCAGCTATCTTAACGGAGGAAAGGTATGTTTAATCAGTAAAATTAAGTTTGTAGTTACTTCTCCAAAACGTAAGTAAACTATGTAGATCCTACATCTAACAAACAGTATCTAGAAAGCCAACAATCTTATTGTAGTAGCCTTCTAAGTATAGCGTATAATGCGTCAAAACGAATATTCAGGAGATTAAGAAACTAACCAAAAATTAGTTCGGAAAACTGTGATTCAATGAACTTACTAGGAAAATTAAGATAAGAAAATCAGTGACAACAAGTGAATATTAAACCTCCTAATGATGGTTTGGCGAAAGGCAGAAAACCTCAAACGAGATTCCAACTGGTATTTGATGCATAAGTTCTGGATTATATAATGGCACACACTCTGCAGGCAAAAACAGTAATGACTGTACGAATGAAAAAAAGATTGCTGGGCTAGTTCTATTCACTTAAAAGCGAAGTACTTTAAAATCTGAGATTTGAAAACATATGAAGGCTTCTCTGAATCAGTTCTTTTCATAACATGTACAGTTTTGTTGACCGTGAGGCACGGGTAGTTTGGGCCAATAGAAACTAAAAATTAACTTAGGCTACTTATGACTTCATAGTAAATACACTCATTAGGATTGACAAAACAATTATGCAGCCGTATTTTCAATATAATGTTTTGTAGTCAAAATAATAAGGACGTTAGTGTACACAACATACAGCTTATATGTTGACGCAAATAAAGAGATTTAGTGATCATACGGATTTCCTCATTTTCCACTGAAAGTAGTTACCGCGCATAAAATAAAACGCTTTGACAGTAAAATTAGAGCTGTTGTTTAGTGAATGAAATGACTTGTTCAAAAAAGAAAGAATTCCGCAAATTAAGAACGGTACGAAGGTGTCAATATGGGTAATACACGTTAGAATATCTGGAAAAAATGTTTATTTAGAAAATGATCAAGTTTCCGATACGATCAGTTGCAAACAAGCAAACCAGTAGCAATATTTTAATGAGTATTATCAGCAAATACAAAATATCTGGATTTGGTTGATAAAAACACGATTGCGTACAAAATTAGTTGATTTGAATTTTGCTAGAATATACATTATTTTATATTTATGTGATTTTTAATATACCATAATTAAAGATGGTCTTGTAGGAGAATCAGTTTGTTCAAGATGGTCATTGGTCAATTTATTGATATTTTCAAAATAACTATCTTAACGCAGTTTACTTAATTCCATTATACAATGGAAGGCTTTTTGTGGTGTTTATCACGGATTACAGCGTCAATTACAAGTGAACACCAAACTTGTAAGGATCAGTAGTGGGTATACTAACAAACTTTAGTTAGAATTCTTTAGGTCATAACATGCACCCATTGAAAACTTTTGATATCAAAGCTTTATCCAATTCTTCTGTAATGTGGATTAGTTTTGTTAGAAATGACAACTACTTAATTAATGTAGTAAAACTTATCAATTGCGCTATCTACCGAGATAACTAGACTTAAATGTAGCAAATAAACAAAATAATGGAGGTAAAAATTTGCTTTATAAAAAGGATATTTAAGACTTGACTATAATGTTTTGCCATTTATTGGAATCACATAGAATACAAATCACAAAACTACCAGCTCATCAAATGGACGATACAACTTACAGGACAAGTATCAAATATTATTCAGATGTGGTTTAAAATCGAACTAATTATAAATAATTGTAATTAAAATACCACTCTCATATTAAATGAGACGGGACAGAAGAATATTTATCGCAATATGAATAGCTTCAGATTTTACCATATTTTAACAATCCAAAGGTAACCCGGAAACTTGTATAACTTTGTGTCAATCCTGATCTCCACGGAGTTCTAATTAAGCTAACCCAATAATAGATTGGTGCCTTTACCTATAACTTTTGGTTTAAGTGTAATAAACGAAGTCTTGGGTAGTAGAACAGTATTTTGTAATATGCAGCATCATACACTGCATTTGTAAAACATTAAAACAATACTTTAAACACACTAATTATACATCTTTCATAAGTTATCTCATACAAACTCCAACTCTCACTCATGTTGTTATTTTGATGGCTTTCCGTTTTCCTTTTTTTCATTAAGGATTCTACTTTCGGATGCCGGTACAAACTACTTACATCTGCCCGTTTAAGTAGCACACCACATAAGTATCAGTGATGTAACTTATTTAACAAAATATATCTAGCTTACATACAATAATAGTGACGTTTAGTCGAAAATGGTCATCTAGTTATAAAGCATTATGATAAGTCTCTCAACAAAATCAACTTTGTTCATTTCAGTACAGTGATCTTTTTCCTGATAATCGGCTTTAGATCAACTAAGAGTGAAAATAACCAACTTAGCTATACGAGAACTATTCATCAAAGTATAATAAAATATAATATACACGTGACTGACCCGTAAACCCAACAGTTTCAGCAAAAAGAAATGTGCTATAAGACATTAGAACGAACAAAGCTGTTTCCAGTAGAGGATGCTCCTTGATGTGTGTAAATTTTGTAAGAAGAGATGTTACACAGCCAATAGAAACGCCAGTGACGAATGAACCTCCAAACATTATAAAAAAGTTTAAAACAGAAGACAGGAAAGCGTGGCCATCAAAATTACCAGCAGAAATGGACCCGTATTTTTCGATCGACCTGTAAAAGCAAATTAACTTTATTCTTTATCGATACTAAAGACTGCGTACTGAATATAAGACCGAAATTTGGTAACGAAAATAAACGAGCAGAATGTAACTTACTGGGCTAAGGCAATTGCCAAAGCGTCGTTAAGAACACTCTCACCAAATACGAGTGCATACAAGTTGACATCAACTTTCAAGTCACTGAAGATAGCCAAAACAGTTACTAAAACTATAGCAAAGTGATAAATTTTTACCAGGATCAGTAGCAGATATTATAGCTCCAAACAAAAGGCAGTCTGAGAGACGCAAAGTTTGAGACAATGAAGTAATTCCACGGGTGAAGCCATAGCAAATGGTTCTGTTGAAATTTAAAATAATGCTCTCAGCTTACCCAACAACTAGAGCGGACAACAAAGTACCACCAAATGCATAAGTAAGAACGGCTCCAATATTTTTGAAAAAGTAGCCCTAGAAATGAATCTACGTTGGAATCAGACATACGCGTTTCATACTATATCCTGCTGAGAAAATTATAGGAGGAAGTAAAACATTAAAGAAGAATTCCGGGTCGAACGTAGCCTGAAAGTAATAATACAAATTATAATACCTTGTTGTTAATTAAAGAGTTGAAATCTGATTGCTGTTCAAATTTGTACCGGAACGACATGCTTAAATTGAACTTTCCGTACTGGTCACGGACAGGAAACTCAATGATCAGTCTCTCTGGAGGCAAACGACCACCGCACGCTTCATCATTTTTACGTGAAAACACATGCATCTCCACGGTATAATTTGAAGATTTTATAGCATATCTAAGTATAAGACCAACAGCCAGTCCTACAAATTATGAACCAAATGATGAAACTTACCATATACCACTGAAAGGCCAGTTTCGTGGATATATCGAAAGCGTCTATGTTTAAAAGCCCAGATGGTTATGACAGAAAGAGTTAGAAGCACTACATATACTAAAAGAATAAGATTATCCATTCGGTGATCATTTTGCAGCCTTTGTTCAGTGTGCTTTTCGATAATTTTACTCTCATTTGCTAGACACTCATACGGATCTGACGACGACATTTCCAATTTACCACCGATGGTAATTAGAGTACTACTAACACTTGAAATGGTTGATAAAAACAAACATACCAGTTTTTGTTTAGGATGAATTAGCATTCATGAATTAAAAACCTGCAAAGAAAAAGCCCGTTACAATGTTATTCATTTTTTATTTTATAAACATACATCATATCTATTTGACTGATTCAGGAGGTATTGTTACGATATGGCCTGGCGACAACGGTTCAGACGGCTTAAATGGTTTTGAATGAAGCAAAACAAACGTGTCCTAAATGAACCGCTTTGTCTGGTATTTGTGGATCACAGTTCTTTTGAGGTATACACCTGAAATCACGAATTCGCTGGTGTTAGTAAATTAGTATGAGTCGGAACGGTACTCCAATATTCGACTACTCGTAAGGAGTAAAACTTGTTCCTTTGGTTCAACCTACCACGTTTCACCTATGAATTCCCAGTATTTTTACTATGAGTTATCTGTTAGGATTGACGATATTACGGTTTGTGATGTTTTAGCTTTCCATAATTTCACCATTGTTTCGCTTGTTCATTCTAAGCTGAAAAGATCCAGTAGTTTTAGACATTCATGATGAGCGTTAGTGATAAAAATGGATGAACCTTGCTGAAACTTTGCTTCTAGGATGACAAAAAATTTATTGATAGTTGATAAGTAGGTAGCCAGACAGACTGCAAATTTCATAACCTCGGGAGGTGTTTGAAAGCATCTCCAGTCAATGGTTTGAATTCTTTTCATTCGAACGATTTCGAAAGATTATATAACGTCTACCACCTTTCACTTGACCATGATCACGCTTTTGGATAATCATTCAACAGTATGATATTAGAGGTGGATTCTCTTTTCTCAGAAAAATGCAGCTACGAATTTCAAAATTATGTTGGATTTAAAAAAACTTTCCTTAAATCAGAGAGGAATTCGTTAGTTACAGTATGCACAATTCTAATGTGTTTCACTTCAGAAAGTAGTATTTATGACAGAAGTGTCTAAAATATAACTCCTATATTTTGGAAAGAACACAAAGGAATGCCACACGTTCAGTACTAGCGATACTTGTCTTACCGTAAAATCAAGAAACCTGGGAACACACAATGTTCCACTACCTTATCTCTGAAAAAAAGGATGGTTTGATTGTTTTCCATAGAAATTTAAATGCATTTTGAATTTTACTCATGTGTTTTTCTCTCAGTTATATCAGAATTTCATAGAGTGCACAGCATGTGAGCTAAGAATTCGGTAACAAAAAAACTTTTTCGGTATACAAATTTTTTCACCGATTGGTATCTAAACCATTAAATAATCTATTCAATAAAGCACATGCTAGCAGGAAACCATAGTAAACTTCCGGCCTTCTGCAATTAATAACCAAATTTGATTTTTTCAGTTTGCTGAATCCTTGGGTTATTTTTGATATCCGGTAGTGTTACGACGAGTTAAAATCAACAGAACGATTTTAGTACGGGTACATGATGTTAATGGAGAGTAAGTGCATATTTTTTGTAGAATTTGTTGTGATTACATTTTCCGTGCTGGTAGATGCAGCTCGTTTTATCAGTTGAAAAAACCAGATTAATAACCGAATAGGTTTTTACTTAGAATGTGAAACAGAGCAGTTTGAAAGCGCGATTGTTTTTTTCAAACATACAAGATTGATTAACATTTAGTACAAAATAGTGGAAAGTATAATGACATGGAAAAGAAGTAACTGACTTTCATGCTCTCTTTTCACATGACCTTGACTGCCCTGGATGACCATGGCCATTCCGTGTTTGAAATACCTGAGGTCATTTGCGTGCTTGTATGCTAGCAGGATTCTCGAGTGCTATTATGTTCATGTGGTATGTTGACGCTTGAAAACCATCAGTCGTCGCCGACAACATAACCTATGCACTTCTGCCTTTTTAGTGTTGTTTGCTGCTGTGAAATATTGTTCGAACTACATCGGTTGGAAAAAATTTTGGGGAGAGTCTACTAGATCTGAGTGTGTATAACATGATTGAAAATAATCACACATGATTCTGTAGTCCGACAATCTGTTTCTCACATCGTCCCACGAACAGTTAGTGAGTTTGGAACTGTTGTATTCTTCGATTAGTGTTAGTAGTAATGATACATTTGTTGTTTTCAAGTGTGCGATTGGTCGTAAATGTGGGCTACAGGGTTTTGGAATGATTGAAAAACTGCGAGAACTGTAAATCTAAGACGACACTTTCGACCAAAATTTCTACATTTCCGGTCAATGCCTCGCGTGGTTCTATAACAAACTATGTATATGATGAAGTCATGACGAATGATATATAACCATCCTTGTGAAAGTTCGTGAATGATTTTCAATCCGAGAACGAGGCGACTGGCCTCAAGGCACAAGGAAAATCTAAGACCATTACTGGTCTTATCATAATCCTTAATTCAGGTTGTTGAATAAGTTAGAGGACAGACTGGTCATGAATTTTCTGTGACCAATTTGAAGGCAATGGAAGCGTATATGTCTGCCAGTGGGCATCTACTCTTATATTTTCAGGCTGTTCTGCTCGATTGCAAATATTCCAGTTGCAAAGACAAAGAGGTTAACTGAGGTTATTTCTTTCCGAATGCAAACTTGTAACTAAAACTTGCTTTGGTATTAACCATCGGATCACTTTATATGAACAGCATCCAGAAGTTTCCAGTATGGATTCTAACCACAATACAAAGAGCAAGGAGTGAGTATGCTCCTTGATAACTGATAACTTAGGCAGTGGTCGCTCGATTTCATTCGCATGGAAACGGACGGACAAAGGAGTAGACGCTAAGTGGATTTTAGATAGCCAAAATATTAGGTGATACTCGCTAGCTTCCTGTTGAACGGAAAGTTACCACTTGTTATTACTGAGATCTTGATAACTAAATTAATTCATTTCATGTATTCATGAAAGATAGATTACCAGTTCCTCATCCCGGGTGCACTTACGTTACCTCACACTCAGTGCTGAAAATTGTCCTTTGTAATTCATCCAGCTAATATTTCATGCTACTTAATGTCACGTTATGCTGTCTCTACCTTTATAAGCTTATTTATTTCTATTGTTTACATTTACCTATATTATGTAATTTAAATGTTCACTTTACACACTATTTTTTCCAAACATCATCGTGATTGCGATGACTCCATCCTGTACAATCAATATATCCAACTATCATTCTTAGATATATTGATCACTAGAACTGACACAGGAAAACTGGAAACTCAAGTATATAGGAAACCGACCCATACAGATCAAATTCTCAACTACAACACCAACAACCCAAGAGCTCACAAAATCAACTGTGTACACACATAGTTTAACAGGGCAAGGACACACATCAACACACTGGCAGCACGAAAAAATAAAGAGAAATACCAGAAGGACATATTTCAAAAGAACGACTATCTAATCAACTTCATCAAGAAGCACCAACGGCACACAGCATCAGAACTCAAGTCAAGCACAAAAATCAACAAATGGATCATCCTACCGTCCATACAAGGAATATCAGCAACCGCAACGAGACTGCTGAAAACCTTCGGAATAAGTGTGGCACACAAACCGACAAAATCACTACAATCAATCCTATGCAAACCAAAGGATGAAATAACAAAGGAAAACAAATCAAATATTATCTACAAAATAAATTGTACCGACTGCGACAAACACTACGTCGGACAAAGCGGACGCCCCCTCCACCTACGCTTACATGATCATCAATTAGCAGCCAAACGCCATGATATCTCTTCACTTATATCAATACACGTGGATAACTACGGACACTCATTTGATTGGAAAAACGTAGAAATCTTAAACAGAGGAAACTCCAAAAACACCAGAGAATTTTTAGAAGCTCAGGTCAATCAGCAAATATATTGAAATCAATCCAATCTATCAACCAATCAGGAAAATCATGCATAAATATAGGAACAAAAATCAAACCAATGAGAGACACAACCAAAACAAAGAAGTAAACAATGATAAATTTAAGGTCAACAAGAACCAATCAACATCGAGGTTGCCACCTGATACGAGTCAGAATGGACAATGATGTGGCTTACATATAAAATCGGTTTGCCACAACACTACAAGTTGATTTATGTGATACCATGTACCCTATTAAGTATTAATTTTGCAAGGATTACATTGATTAACAAGCTTTCAACTTCCAAATAATTGTCAATCAAACTGTTGACAATAATTATCTGACTGGGCTTACAGTAACACAAATATTACTCACAACTCAAGAGATCTCACAATACGTTTGTTAGGACAGAAAATAAACACAATATATATGCTCTTGATTAGTGTCACCTATGCCATCCCTCAAATCAACCACGGAAAATGTTTGATTACCAATTAATTAAAATTCAATATTAGGTAATCATCATTGGTGTCAATATTTTAGGTCTCTTGACACTCCTTGTCACGTATTGATACTTGTTAAGTATTTGGAGTACGAAAGTAATAAATCATTTTTATTAAATCTGTATAACATTGCTACAGTTACCAGGTTTGCATGGTGGAGAGTTCTATCTCGATAATCTTTCCGTACCTGCGTCCAGAACTCCACTATTTTTCGTAAACTATCACGCGACTAAGGTCCCGTAATCGACATGATTGCGCATTAAACTGATAAGTGTCAGGTGGTGAGGGTTTAGTTCCATTCGCTATACATCATATAATTATCCCATAACTAGTCGTAAAATAACACAAAACTACGGATTCGTTCTCAACACCTGTAGGATAAAAGTTTGTATGTAGGCTAGTTGAAGGTGAAATGAAACTCAGTAACAAAGAATGATCTAGTTTAGATATTCTTTAATAAGCCACTACAAAATAGACTTCACAAATATATTTGAAATGGCTTAATGGATAAATAATATGATCAGTTCGAGATAATCAGTGCTTTGCACTTGTCGATGATGGCACCATATTTTATTTAATGTAGGAATCCATTTCATATTTTGCTAATGTGCTGTTCTTTAGTGCTGATTTCCAATTACTACTCAAGAATGATTGAAAATAAG